TAAAATTTATTCCGAATCCTAACTAGTCTTCGTGATAATGGATGATATGAACGTGTGTAATTCATTTTGAACTGATTATAACCATTATAACACAACTTTATACAGACAGGTAGAATGTGACTAGAAGTGGAATCCAGAATACATATTTCGTTCCATTTAGGTCCTGTCGGTTGGTTGTAACTACATTTTGGAGTTGATGTTCTTTCAAGGAATCGAACCTAGTACCGTTTTCCTTTAAAAGCTATCGCGTAATCCATTTGAAGCTAATGTCACTGAGTTCGACTCCCGCTGTTATCATCAACACTAAGATATGGACAGTACGTCCAGCTGACGAGTCTAAACTAGGAGGAAATGTGCATCTTCAATTCCAATGCTAGGCAACATTCTATCTACTCTGTATGAGTATATTTATTCAGATAACCGTCTATAAAATGAGACATTAAAAAGTGCATTATATCAATAAATCTCATTATCTTCTTCAGTAGATGTATCATCAATGCTTTGCCGTGTAGGAGTAGGTTGGAAGAAAATTAGGGGCGGCCAAACCAAAACCTGGCACAAATTCATCAAGTCACTGACAAATGAACTGAGTCATGTTGGTAGATGTAGGCTATCTGGTTGGGGTCCGCGAGACGAAGGTCACCAATGGTTAAAAACCTTGAACTTCATGGCTCAGGTGCATCCACTCTTCGTGTGCTTTTCAACCTTCCGAATTCCTCATAATCTCTATCTTTCTCCTTCTAAATATATCTCACTGAATTATACTTCTCGAATCATATCTTTGCTCCCTAATCTTCTCCATTACTGCTAATACTTCTACTATCGCTATCACTCTCGAATATGAACTGACAGTTGCGTCTCTATGCTGAGGTGATATGGCAACCTGAACTGATGTACTTGTGTACGAAGTTCTGCGTTGTAACTGTCTGCCTGTTTATGTTTTGTGGTATAACATTAATTAAATGTTGCTCATTTTTATGAGATGTCATTTTTATTTAATTAGCGTGTTGTTTATATTTTGAAAAACTGTTTTATAGTACAAAGCTCTTATTGTAAAGAAATCATTTGAAGAAACATGGAAAATATTTTTGATATCGTAAATGTTTTCTCATATATATTCAAACTAGTTTATTAATCCGTTTGTATTCTTACAAACTAACCAATTTTCATTAAAATTATAAATCAATCACTGTTAGACCATAATTAGAAACTTGAAAGCGGTGGACTACCGTTCGACCTCAGTATGAGACTCGTCAGCAGTTTACGTTAAGCAACCTGGCTCGTGGGAACTAAACCCAAGACCCTAAGTCTTGCTCAAGAACGTCAACTTCTTTACAACTGAGACCAGTGTTTCCAGGTTTCTATTGCGGTTCGATTCATAATTTCACTGAAACTTAACAACATCCATAACTGTATAATGAGAAATCATAAAAGTATGCGGATATTATCGAAGTTTTAGTGTGAAGATGTGACCGGTAGTTGTAAACCCTGTTGGATTTAGGCAGACGCATACCGAAGATGATCGATGGGATTAAGCAACATCAGCGAATGACTAAAGCTAGACACTAACACCACTGGATGCCCGCTCAGTAGTTTAAATGTTAAGCTGTTGTGTGTTAGACCGAAGGTCTTAGATTTACTGCGTACTACTGATGAGTCGTATACTAGTCCAAAACTGATGTTCAGTACCTCCAGCTTTTTAATGTTGTGGTGTTTCATTCTCTGAACTTGATGTTTCAGTTGTGGAGATTTCGTTGTTCTTCTTCTGAACAACATCATCAACACAAACTTTAGATAATAGAAGTGAAGTATTTGAGTTTATCCACGTTCGACCTGTGGCTTGTTCTTTTAACATCGATGGAACAAGTTACAGGTCAAAACGTGGAGAAGTTCGAATACTTCACTTATTCTACCTGAAGTTTATGCTGATAATGTTGTTCACAAAACGAACAACAAAAGCTCCACCACCGTAACAGTCAGCTCAGCACAACAATCACCCACCTGAGCTATAAATTTTCTCCACCATCTCAAGGTTTCTAATAGCTGTCTACCATTGATCGATCGCAAATTTCAATAAAAAACTCAATCACCTCTACAATTCAATCATGAAGAAATAACCTTTTTTTTCCTTAAATATTTTTATGTAAACTAAAGTCAACTTAATTTATCATCTTTCTTCTCATTTTAAATGAATTATGACAGTTACATAAATATCTTTCTCGTTTAATTTCGTCTGTTCATATTTCCGTATAACAGTGATAATAATAATAATTATTATTATTATGCTTCTTTCCACATTTCTCTCATGATTTTCTCCATTAAATTGTTATTCCGTATTTTTTCCTTCGATTTTATTTTATTCTAACCAAAAAAAAATTTACACTTGACCTCATTTATGCTAGTGAGTGTGTGTGTGTGTGTATAAATAAATTTTCGCGTTTTTTTCTTTGGTTCAATAATATATTCAGTTTTTTCACAAAACAAAATGATTTCATGTGTAAAGACCAAAATGAACCAGTATTGAAATAATAAATAAATCTCCCAAAATTAAAAAAAAAAACAACACAAAAACTGATTCACAATTTTTTTTAATTTCCGAAATAAAATTTTCTCATTGGTTCATCATATCAGCCAATCACATTGCTAGATTTGATTATTCATCATTATTTATATAAAAATATTTAGTGTTTTCTTCACGAAAAACAATGACTTTCCACCTGTGATATAATAATGATAGTACATGATTTAACAATTTACAATATTACATTACATTGAGATGAATAATTTCTCTTTATCTATACTGATCAACAATGATATGATGACTACAACGACCACATCGACAACAACAAGTACTACTACTCAATTGAATACAAGTAGTACAAACAGTAACAACACATGTATTGATCATTTTCCCTGGTTAGAAGTATTTCATCAAAATTATCAACCTATTCATGTTTATTTATGTTTAATTCTATGCCCAATCGGTGTAATAGCCAATACGTTGAATGTTGTTGTTTTATGTCAACCACGTTTACGTAGTCCAACTAATTTATTGCTGACTGTACTCGCAGTCAGTGATGGTGTTGTCATGTTTATTTATATAATCTTTGATTATTTTTATTTAATGACACCAAGATTAATTTATGGAATGTCGAAAGCTTATGCACAATTATTACTGATTAATATTGTGTTACAAAATTTATTTCATGCCTTTTCTGCATGGATTATAGTCGCTGTAGCGATATTTCGTTTAATCTATATTAAAACTGGTGTACGTGCAGCAATCTATTGTAATATGGTCAAAGCATGGATTGTTATATTGATGGTGTTGGCTAGTTCAGTTCTACTGACTATACCATTTATGATTGCGCATCAAGTACGCGTGAAACCAACTGATCCGCATACAATGTCGACTAGTCTTGAATTGACAATAGAAAGTATCAATCAAACCATAGTTGACGATTCTCAGTTGGATAATAATAACAACAATACACCGTTACAATTATATGAAGTTGATTATACTACAAATATGAATTTACGGATAATTTTATTTTGGAATTCAGCTATCTTAGTGAAAGCATTGCCTATTTTAATTATGACCACGGTGAGTGCTGCATTGATTTCTTCAATACGTGAATCAGAGAAACGTTATCGTATATTACGTAGATATCGTAATTGTAAAACATTTCAAGCAACATTAGAAACGACACGTATTGAAAGTTTTATCAATAATAATAATAATAATAATAATAATAACAATAATAATACTGGAAATGATATAAAACCACCATTGTCACAACAACGTTCAAAACAAAAACTCTGTTCACATGCTGAAATGAATTCCGGTAATCGTAGTGCAAATCAAACAACCTATATGTTATTAACGATTATTATTTTATATATAGTGACATATTTACCACAAGTAAGTTTAGAATTTTTAAGAGAAAAAATAAAATTTCTTATAAAGTTTCACTGATTTATAATTATTGCTCTAGTTAGTGTGTTTTTTTCTGGCGAGTTATTTTATTTTTTAACGGGATGAGGTCGTTAACCTCATGCCCAATCCTGCTGTTTTATGCGGGTTTGAGGCTGGCAGTAGTCAGTGGAGGGACTCCAGGTGGGATTTCTACCGAGATCGATGTCTTGTTTTTATATTTTAATAGTTTTGATGTTGAAACCTTAGGACAACTTTTAACAAGTGACGTAGTCGAGAATTTCACTGTTAACTTATTCAAGTTTCAATTTATGATAACACTGAAACTCCGTTAATTGTTTAGTCATTAGGTATGGAAATAAATTTTTTGGTAAACTACTTGAAAACACAATTTAAAATATAAACAACAGTTTGCTGAATGTTCTCAATGGATATAAAAATATTCTCTGAAAATAAATCTAAGAAAATTAAATTTGAACTTAACAAATCCTCGACAAATTTTCATAGTTTGTTACGGATAAAAAATGAAAAAACTTTTGTTAAAAACTGATTCCATTTCAGTTTTCTAACAAAAGTTTTTTCATTTTTATCCGTAACAACTATGAAAATTTTGTCCGAGGATTTGTTTAAGTTCAAATTTAATTTTCTTAGATTTATTTTCAGAGAATATTTTTATATCCATTGAGAACATTCAGCAAACTGTTGTTTATATTTTTAAATTGTGTTTTCAAGTAGTTTACCAAAAAATTTATTTCCATACCTAATGACTAAACAATTAACGGAGTTTTCAGTGTTATCATAAATTGAAACTTGAATAAGTTAACAGTGAGATTCTCGACTACGTCACTTGTTAAAAGTTGTCCTAAGGTTTCCAACATCAAAACTATTAAATATAAAAACAAGACATCGATCTCGTAGAATCTCCCACCTGGAGTCCCTCCACTGACTACTGCCAGCCTCAAACCCGCATAAACAGCAGGATTCATGAGGTTAACGACCTCATCCCGTTAAAAAATAAAATAACTCGCCAGAAAAAAACACACTAACCTAGAGCAATAATTATAAATCAGTGAAACTTTATAAGAAATTTTATTTTTTCTCTTAAAAATTCTAAACTTACTTGTGGTAAATATGTCACTATATATAAAATAATAATCGTTAATAACATATAGGTTGTTTGATTTGCACTACGATTACCGGAATTCATTTCAGCATGTGAACAGAGTTTTTGTTTTGAACGTTGTTGTGACAATGGTGGTTTTATATCATTTCCAGTATTATTATTGTTATTATTATTATTATTATTATTATTATTGATAAAACTTTCAATACGTGTCGTTTCTAATGTTGCTTGAAATGTTTTACAATTACGATATCTACGTAATATACGATAACGTTTCTCTGATTCACGTATTGAAGAAATCAATGCAGCACTCACCGTGGTCATAATTAAAATAGGCAATGCTTTCACTAAGATAGCTGATCCAAAATAAAATTATCCGTAAATTCATATTTGTAGTATAATCAACTTCATATAATTGTAACGGTGTATTGTTGTTATTATTATCCAACTGAGAATCGTCAACTATGGTTTGATTGATACTTTCTATTGTCAATTCAAGACTAGTCGACATTGTATGCGGATCAGTTGGTTTCACGCGTACTTGATGCGCAATCATAAATGGTATAGTCAGTAGAACTGAACTAGCCAACACCATCAATATAACAATCCATGCTTTGACCATATTACAATAGATTGCTGCACGTACACCAGTTTTAATATAGATTAAACGAAATATCGCTACAGCGACTATAATCCATGCAGAAAAGGCATGAAATAAATTTTGTAACACAATATTAATCAGTAATAATTGTGCATAAGCTTTCGACATTCCATAAATTAATCTTGGTGTCATTAAATAAAAATAATCAAAGATTATATAAATAAACATGACAACACCATCACTGACTGCGAGTACAGTCAGCAATAATTAGTTGGACTACGTAAACGTGGTTGACATAAAACAACAACATTCAACGTATTGGCTATTACACCGATTGGGCATAGAATTAAACATAAATAAACATGAATAGGTTGATAATTTTGATGAAATACTTCTAACCAGGGAAAATGATCAATACATGTGTTGTTACTGTTTGTACTACTTGTATTCAATTGAGTAGTAGTACTTGTTGTTGTCGATGTGGTCGTTGTAGTCATCATATCATTGTTGATCAGTATAGATAAAGAGAAATTATTCATCTCAATGTAATGTAATATTGTAAATTGTTAAATCATGTACTATCATTATTATATCACAGGTGGAAAGTCATTGTTTTTCGTGAAGAAAACACTAAATATTTTATATAAATAATGATGAATAATCAAATCTAGCAATGTGATTGGCTGATATGATGAACCAATGAGAAAATTTTATTTCGGAAATTAAAAAAAATTGTGAATCAGTTTTTGTGTTGTTTTTTTTTTTTTAATTTTGGGAGATTTATTTATTATTTCAATACTGGTTCATTTTGGTCTTTACACATGAAATCATTTGTTTTGTGAAAAAAACTGAATATATTATTGAACCAAAGAAAAAAACGCGAAAATTTATTTATACACACACACACACACTCACTAGCATATATGAGGTCAAGTGTAAATTTTTTTTTTGGTTAGAATAAAATAAAATCGAAGGAAAAAAATACGGAATAACAATTTAATGGAGAAAATCATGAGAGAAATGTGGAAAGAAGCATAATAATAATAATAATAATAATTATTATTATTATTATTATCACTGTTATACGGAAATATGAACAGACGAAATTAAACGAGAAAGATATTTATGTAACTGTCATAATTCATTTAAAATGAGATGAAAGATGATAAATTAAGTTGACTTTAGTTTACATAAAAATATTTAAGGAAAAAAAAGGTTATTTCTTCATGATTGAATTGTAGAGGTGATTGAGTTTTTTAGAAATTTGCGATCGATCAATGGTAGACAGCTATTAGAAACCTTGAGATGGTGGAGAAAATTTATAGCTCAGGTGGGTGATTGTTGTGCTGAGCTGACTGTTACGGTGGTGGAGCTTTTGTTGTTCGTTTTGTGAACAACATTATCAGCATAAACTTCAGGTAGAATAAGTGAAGTATTCGAACTTCTCCACGTTTTGACCTGTAACTTGTTCCATCGATGTTAAAAGAACAAGCCACAGGTCGAACGTGGAGAAACTCAAATACTTCACTTCTATTATCTGAAGTTTGTGTTGATGATGTTGTTCAGAAGAAGAACAACGAAATCTCCACAACTGAAACATCAAGTTCAGAGAATGAAACACCACAACATTAAAAAGCTGGAGGTACTGAACATCAGTTTTGGACTAGTATACGACTCATCAGTAGTACGCAGTAAATCTAAGACCTTCGGTCTAACACACAACAGCTTAACATTTAAACTACTGAGCGGGCATCCAGTGGTGTTAGTGTCTAGCTTTAGTCATTCGCTGATGTTGCTTAATCCCATCGATCATCTTCGGTATGCGTCTGCCTAAATCCAACAGGGTTTACAACTACCGGTCACATCTTCACACTAAAACTTCGATAATATCCGCATACTTTTATGATTTCTCATTATACAGTTATGGATGTTGTTAAGTTTCAGTGAAATTATGAATCGAACCGCAATAGAAACCTGGAAACACTGGTCTCAGTTGTAAAGAAGTTGACGTTCTTGAGCAAGACTTAGGGTCTTGGGTTTAGTGTCCCACGAGCCAGGTTGCTTAACGTAAACTGCTGACGAGTCTCATACTGAGGTCGAACGGTAGTCCACCGCTTTCAAGTTTCTAATTATGGTCTAACAGTGATTGATTTATAATTTTAATGAAAATTGGTTAGTTTGTAAGAATACAAACGGATTAATAAACTAGTTGAATATATATGAGAAAACATTTACGATATCAAAAATATTTTCCATGTTTCTTCAAATGATTTCTTTACAATAAGAGCTTTGTACTATAAAACAGTTTTTCAAAATATAAACAACACGCTAATTAAATAAAAATGACATCTCATAAAAATGAGCAACATTTAATTAATGTTATACCACAAAACATAAACAGGCAGACAGTTACAACGCAGAACTTCGTACACAAGTACATCAGTTCAGGTTGCCATATCACCTCAGCATAGAGACGCAACTGTCAGTTCATATTCGAGAGTGATAGCGATGATAGAAGTATTAGCAGTAATGGAGAAGATTAGGGTGCGAAGATATGATTCGAGAAGTATAATTCAGTGAGATAAATTTAGAAGGAGAAAGGTAGAGATTATGAGGAATTCAGAAGGTTAGAATTTCATAGAACACAAAGAGTGGATGCACCTGAGCCATGTCGTTCAAGATCTTTAACCATTGGTGACTTACGTCTCTTGAGCATCAACCAGATAGTCTACACTTACCAATATGACTCAGTCCACTTGTCAATGACTTCATGGATTTCTGTCATGTTTTAGTTTGGCCGCCCCTAACTTCCTTCCAACCTATTCCTACACGGCAAAGCATTGATGATACATCTACTGAAGAAGATAATGAGATTTATTGATATAATGCACTTTTTAATGTCTCATTTTATAGACGGTTATCTGAATAAATATACTCATACAGAGTAGATAGAATGTTGCCTAGCATTGGAATTGAAGATGCACATTTCCTCCTAGTTTAGACTCGTCAGCTGGACGTACTGTCCATATCTTAGTGTTGATGATAACAGCGGGAGTCGAACTCAGTGACATTAGCTTCAAATGGATTACGCGATAGCTTTTAAAGGAAAACGGTACTAGGTTCGATTCCTTGAAAGAACATCAACTCCAAAATGTAGTTACAACCAACCGACAGGACCTAAATGGAACGAAATATGTATTCTGGATTCCACTTCTAGTCACATTCTACCTGTCTGTATAAAGTTGTGTTATAATGGTTATAATCAGTTCAAAATGAATTACACACGTTCATATCATCCATTATCACGAAGACTAGTTAGGATTGGAATAAATTTTATTCAAAAGTTAAAAACGGAACTAAATTATTGAAATAAAGTAGTATTATGTTCTATACTTATGGGTTTTGTACAAAAATTGTACAAACAAGTGAACAATGCCGATGAAAGTAGTAGCAGTTAACTGTTTTTTCCCTTGAAATTGTTACTTCAGTCGGAATTTAATTATATGACAACTTTCATAGTTGTAAAATACAAATATTCTATTTCCCAATCGATAATCTTTTTCTTGATGGAACTGGTTGTGTGGGTTTAGGTAGCAGATATATTCATCAAGATACCAATCAATATTTTACCTCACGATGTCAGAGACCACAATGATCCATGGAGATCTAATTCAAAAGGCTTTATAAGATTCTTCAATTAGGGTTATGGAGATTAGTGTGTTTTACACATTTGAGATCATCAATCAATCATTAATAGACAACAGAAACTCGGACACGCTGAAAGACTGCCGTTTTGTCCTGGTATGAGCCTACTCATCAGTGGCAGTGAGCATCCACAACTCCTTCATCATCACGCAGAATTCGAACCTGGGACCTTCGCTCTTGAGCGCGAACACCTAAGCTCTGGAACACTGGGACGGCATCCAGCTGTGTTTATGTTCTAACTCCTATCAATCTAAGGATTGTGCGAGACCTCACCCATTGTCTTGGTAATTACTGCCTACACCTGCACATGGTTGAACTCCATCGGGTCACGATTATCTCACTCGAACTACGAGAATCGTCTCACGAAGCTAGTCACTAGTGAGCACAATTTTAGATTTTTCTATTAGAGTTATGAAGATATTGTTTTTATGCATTTGAACTCATCGAACAATCATTGTAGACCACTAACACCGTTGGTCTAGAGTTGAAGCGATTCGCGCGCAAGAATGAAGGTCCTGGGTTCGACTCTTGTGGGGTGCAGGGTTCGTAGGTGTGCAGATAGGTCCCATACCAGGACGAAACGGCCATCTTTTAGTGCTTCCAGGTTTCTAATGACGGTCTAATTGATTTCAAATGTGGATATAAGATTCATAAATGAATGAGAAGTCAGAAAATTATCTGATTTTTAAGCTGTTGTATAGAAATTAGAAACTTTTTGTAATAAGATTCATTTATTATTATCATGTACGAAGAAGTGACTAATTCAATGTTCTTTTTTAAATATCTGTCAGATATTACTATATATAAAATCTTTTGTAAGTAATATATGATAATAAGAGCAGCATTTTCCCCAATTGAAAAACATCGTTAAACTCAAAACAATTTTCAGACAAACAGCAAAGTCAAAATCCTCATTACCAATGTCAAAACAGTACAATAGTATGAATCGAAAACTACCAGAGACTTTGTCCACAGGATACAGATGTTTATTAATGGTTGTCTAGGTAAAAAACTTCATATACTTTGGCCATATACTATCAGTAACAACTTAATGCGAGAGAGAATAAAGTACATTTATAAAAGATGAAGAAATCAGGGAAAAGCGCTGGAAGTGGATAGGTCACATTATGAAGATAGCACCCGAATGCTGAAAATTATCCCTGTTTAACGTTTTTACTTTATGCTTAAGTCTTCTTCATTTATACAATATGATTATGGCTAAAATAATTTATCAGAGTACATACAGTTCTTTTATTTTCCCTTCATTTCTATCGCATCAATTTTTTCTTCTAATTTGCATTAAATGATCACGTAGAATCACTGTCAATGAAGTTAACTTTTAAAACAATCACCATTTTGTAACCTAAAATCGTTGGATGGCCATTTGTTTGAGTGTTGGACTCTTCAAAACTGATCATTCACAACTCCTACCAGTGAAAATCGAGATCATGACCTGCAATTTCATGTAAAGATATTTTGACCAGTGAAAGTCAATCTGTTTCGAGTACGAAGCAGTCATCATTCGAAGGTAATGGATGCAGTCTGCATAAAACCATAGATTGAGTGAAGGATGAAGTTACTATCGTTGGATGCTCAGTGGTCTTGAGGTAAGGCGCTCGCATGCCAAAGACCGAAGGCTCCATATTCAATACTCGCGTGTGAGGTTGTAGTGTGGTCCACGCTACTTATAAGTAGTATATGACGTGAGTGTCAACGTAATTTCTGGCAGCAGAAGATGGAGGAAGATCAAGAAAGGAAGAGTTGGAACACAATGGAATTTGTATGAAACGCATGAATAGTGAAATGTCAGACAACGGATTCATGATAGAATGAT